GAGTCAGTGCACAAGGTGAAGGGATTTTCTGAGTGAATTTGTGGTACATAGATGCCCTTCACATGCACTCTTCCAACTCATCAGCCTCCATCAATCTATTTGCAATGTAACATCCATTCCTCTGTCAACAGGAAAATTTCCATGATATGATACACTCAGTCCCTTATTTCTTCAAAAAATAGATTTGCAGCACTATGTAAAGCACTTTTCTGAAATCCTATGCCATTTTCTTGAAGTTTATACCTTCATTATTGAATTGTAATACTAGAAAATGCTCTTGAGATACAGGATTTGAAAACATAGAGGTAGAATTTAAGAAATTTTTACAAACATTTTAGAGAGAATTTTTTTCACTTAACAAAATTAGCTCCAAAAACAATGTAGGCAAACACAATTGGCATTACAGACTCTACTCTTCTGTGCACCCACATTTCTACCTCACCTACCTGTATAAGCACCGTGGCCATTTAGACCATCAGAGATGATTCTAAAAGTCAAGCAATAGGAAAAGAAGATGACAAATTAAACTGTTCTAAATTTTATCTAGCTTTATTCATTTCACTGATTCATTGGTTTCTGGTTTCACCGACATAGACTTTGCTGTCTAACCTCTAGCAAAAATAACAAAAAACTAAACCAAAGCAGTGAAGACTTTAATACTATTATTGTCATTATTGGATGAGCCATATAAGTAAGCCAGACCTGGATTTCCTGGATCCATCTCAAAGCACATATACATCCTAAGGCTTATTTAGCTGTCTATAGGTACATGAAAACTTCTTCAGGATAGTATCTGCTTTATCATAGTGGTAAATATCATGTTAGAACTTTCATGATATTTCAATAGGAAATAGAGTCACATTGCAAATGCTATTGATCTCCTTTTTTAACTCAGAGATATGAAATAAAATTCTCAAATTATAGTTTAAAATATAAGACCATCATTGGCATAGGCATACATATATACACAGAAGATGAATGTTACTAATATAAAGCATGATAATGCCCTTGGAAATTGAGTAGATAAGTTATGGAAATGGAAATAAGTATTGGTGAGCTGAGGGTCCTATAGATTTTGCATACATAAAGAACCTGCCTTAACAACCCAAAACCTCTTAGAAACCCAAAACCTAAGAAATATTAATTTAGCTAATAAAAATGTTACTTGGAGCTTTTAAATCTTAACTTTAAGAATTAACACTTCATGATTATAAAATATTTACCATGTGAATTCTCAAGCTAGAAGTCACACAGAAGAGAGGACCAACTCATGCAATATGCTTTAATTCCACAGTCTTTTGTGAGATTGTGGTTTGATCAAATGCTTTCTTACGATTCTACTGACACTAGTGACCCTGTTTTGATCTTTTTCATTGGATTTGTCTCTAGTGAGTAGAGCAAAAGTCCAAGAATAAAGAGAGGGAAGGCAGCTCCCTTCTCTTCCCATGAGGCTGACTTTCCAAGACGCTTAGTCATTAAGAACGAGCCTGCGTGCTTGGCTTTTACTTGGACAGAAACTAATCCTGTAGACTCAGTCTGTAAATGCCCAGGAACCTGCTTGGTCACCCAGACAGAGATTTTATAGCTCTTTAAAATTAAGTGTGAATTAATTTTCATAATTAGGAATAATCATTATGGGCAATTATGCAAGATGCCATGTGAAACATTAATCATAATAGATGTATCAGTAAGATACTGTATTTTACAGTATTTTTATTCTGATTTCAATTGTCTTTTAATTATTTGTTTATTTGGTACCAGGGATTGAACTCAGGGGCACTAAACCACTGAGCCACATCCCCAGCCCTATTTTATATTTTATTTAGAGACAGGGTCTCACTGAGTTGCTTAGCACCTTGCCATTGCTGAGGCTGGCTTTGAACTCACCTCAGCCTCCTGAGCCACTGGGATTACAGGGATGCTTTTTTTAAAAACTCTGTAGAAAAAGAGACATACTCTTTTCCATCCTATTCTTCATAGCTGTCAGGTTCTTACCTACCTTAGCTTTCACTTACAAATGATTCCATTGTTATTTAAGTCAGTGCTTCTTTCTCTGTTTTAAATCGTTGTCTGGTTGGTTTTGCTTTCCTGGACTATTTTATTGCCTTTGCATTTTCTGGATTTTTCTACCTGTATTTAAACTTCCAGTGTCTCATACATTCTTTTTCCTGCTGTATCATCTCCTCAGACCCTTCTCCGGACCCTGCATCCTTCTGTTCTCTTCTGGATTGGGTTACTTCCTAGGTACGCCATACCAATGTAGAGACTTCCTCCTGTGCTCTCCCAAATCAAACCACTGTTTCCCAAGTCATGTGCAAGCAAAGGTTTAATAATAGGTTCTCAAACCAAACAAGTCCTGATTTTAGCATTTCCCAATTTCCACTTTGTAAATATTCCCATCACGGCCAATATCAAATTCCCAACTTGACATTACTGACCAAAGACTTGGAAAGAAGTGCACATGGTGACCTTCCCAGCCAGTTCCAGGGGGCTTCATCACACCAGGGATCAGAACCATTTTGATAGTAAAATTGATAAATTATTTTCATACTTTTTCTGAGTTAAAGTGACCTGGATGTCATCCAATTTCATTTGGTGACTCTGGGTCATGTTTTTTCATATTGTCATTGGTGCTTATAATTATACATAATGGTGGGATTCATCGTTACCTATTATGCATGCACAAGATATAACAATATAATTTGGCCCAATATTTCCCCCTTTTCTCCCCACCTCCCTCCCTCTGGTCTATTTCCTTTATTCTACTGTTCTCCTTTTGATTTTCATGAGATTTCCCCCACACCTTTCTTTTCCCTTTTTCTCTCTAGCTTCCATGTATGAGAGGAAACATACTTTATTATTAATAAGATGCTCTAGAGTTGAAAAGTGGTGTCCTTAGAGATTGTGGAATTCAAGCAGGAAGTATTTATATCTACCAGTGAAATAAACCACTAAACAGCTTAAGATGATAATTAGATGGAATAGTTAATAAAAATATGATGGTATTTTACTTTTGAAGTTTTTTTTTAATTATAGTTGTTAGTTGTTTTTTTTAAATACAATGTTCAAATGTAGTTGTAGGTTTGCATGGTTGTTGCAGCTGACCTGTGTCTTATTTTTGGTAAGATCCCCTTTCTAAATTTGATAACCGTTGTTGTTTTTTTCCACTCTTTTTTTTTTTTTGACTCAGCTCGAATTCAATTTTTTTAAATTCTCAGAGAATAAATGTTAATAAATAGCATTTTGTTTTTGGTACCAGGGATTGAAAATTTGACTTCCCTTTCATGATGTGTTGTCTCTTTAATATAATAAAAGGGAGCACTTTCCATGCATCCTCTGGTAGAAAGAGGAAAGGGTTTTCCTCTGAAAAGTTCACTTTAAAGGATTTGTGATGCAGGACAGCTTTAAAATAGGGTAGCTGTTTCAGAATGAATTGCCTAAGGCTGCTCTTCAGGGTTGCTTTTTTTTCTCAGTGAAGCAGTCCTGTTTGGACATAAAAAACAGTGCATATTTATATCATTGATGGGCTAATAAATAAAAGGAAGCTTCCTGGGAACTAATTAGAGTCAGAAGGAGATATGAGCAAGAGATTGAAAAACAGTGCTGCTACTGACATTGCTCTGATTATTTTGTGTTTTAGCATTTCCTTGCATTTTGCAGATGTAGGAGATGGTGACAAATCATTTCACAATCAGAAAATACTCCTAAAATGAATGGGAACTTGGTGTGGTTCTCTTAGGCATTTGTTCTTTTCTCTTTTCCTTCACAACTTAAGCAAGGTAAATTCAGCTTACAGGATGGAGGACATTTCTTTATGTCCAAGGAAATTAAAGCTATTTAGGCATACACCTGTCGCAGAACTGGAAAAATACCAAGGGTGCCATTTTCATCTGAAAGCTGCAGTTTCTAGTGCCATCAGAATAGCTAATCAATCACTGGATCATTTTATTAGAGTTCCTACTTTATCAAAGGAAATCTAGAAAAATGCCTCAAACATATGATTATGTTGAAGTATGCATGTAGAATTGTAAAAAAAATTAGACATAGAATACAAGAACTACCATGTGTCTGTGATAATTGACATTATTGGTATTCATTGCACTATCTGAAATTTGCCTATTTAATGGTAAATGGTTTAAGTGTACAAGTTGATGTACTGAAGAATTATTTTAAAATACAATTCTATATAATGCAAATATAATAGACTATGGTGTCTCTAAAATTGTTATGGCTCCATAATATTTATTTGGTTGTCCAGAAAGGATTTTACCTAGTCTGAATTTTCATGTAGGTATAGAAACTTAGTAAAATGTACTTCCAAGGGAATGTTTAACTCTGGTTTTAGTCTTGAGCCAAGGGTAAGTAAATAACACGTTTTCAAAATGATGATTACTTTACTCATTATCACTATTGGAAGTCTAATGAAAGGAGAAGAAACCAAACAGGTTTGGTTAGTATATATTTAACACAGGAAGGCAAAGTTAAGTAAGAGTTTTGTTTTGTTTTCAAAATGATACCAGCTGTCATATCATTATGGTTATTGCTCTAAGTATGTTATATTAAGTCAATTATTTCATTACAAACAATGATAAATTTAAGTCTTATTTGTCTGGATTTTCTATTGTAGAAAAATAATTAACGAGTATTTCTTAGTTCTCTAGATAGGTTCAAAATTTACATTTGGAGCCATAACATTAAAAGTTATCTCAGTATATTTCCTGAGAGAAGTTGCATAAAACAGTACATGAAATAGGTACTAAAATTCTAGCAACAAGGGTGGATTCCGTGTTGAGGCACTTGCCAAGCATACATGAGGCCATGAGTTTAATCCCAGCACTATAAAAAATAATAATAATAATTAATTAAAATAACGCTTGTGGTTATGATGCTTACAAGTGTTGAGATTGAAGATGCCGACCTCTCCAGCAGTGAAATAAGGATTGAGATGGTGACATGATGCTTGGATAAGCTACTCATGAACTCCCTTTGCTTTGTTGCAGCTCTCAGCATTAGAGAGACAAATCTTTGACTTCCTTGGCTTCCAGTGGGCACCTATTCTTGGAAATTTTCTACATATAATAGTGGTCATATTGGGTTTGTTTGGAACTATTCAGTACAGACCTCGATACATCATGGTGGTAAGTCTTATTGTTATCACTGCTTCTTCATATGAACACTACACAATTTCTATAAGAAGATGAATGAAACAATTTTATAGAGGTCCATCTAATAAAATGTATTTATGCTGTTCTAGCCCTCAACTGTTCAATTCTGTTAAGAAATATTACTCGGTGGAACAGACAACATGATGAATGTTTTACAGTGGGAACAAAGCAATATGTCCTGATGTTTGGGATGATCTAGTGTGACTCACTTAAAATAGAGTTTGGATAAAGTGGAAGGACTGATTTTGATCTCATTGTTATTATGAGATGTAAGGTATGTTAATTATTAATGTAGCAGTGTAATAAGATGTCATTTATCTTCAATGACATCTGTCACTAGCCCTAGAAACCAATCCTATTTAGCATAATTGTTTAATCACTGAAAACAATATAATTTTAATTAACTTAGGATATTTCAAATGCATGTACTGAAAAATTTAGTGCATGTTCCTCATATATTTCATACAGTTTATTATTGAATTTTTCTCCAATTTCCAAGATATATTGGAAGCACCAATCCATACTCCACACTGTGCTGAATATGGACAGCCCACACTCCATTACAGGTCAATTTCATGAAGTACGTGCTGTTCTTCACACTCTAGTGGTAGTTATTCAGTTTAACTAGTTGCTTTTTCTATAAAAATAAGGCAGTATTGTTGGCTAGATGTATAAACAGGTGTTGGAAAATGATGAGTGATAATAATAAAGGTATTGAAAACAGGAATAACATAGTCTAATGTAATCATTGAGCCTGAATGAATGTATAGAATTCAGTAGAGTTGGTAAATAGTTTCTGCAATGCAGTAATGTTGCCATACTTCAGGGGGAAGGTGACACAAATAAGCCACCTTTCAATTTTTACTAATCCAATTTGTTGGGAAAAAAGGTGTTTTTTTTTTTCCCCTATAAATGTACTTGTTCTCTGTGTTGAATCTCAAAATTGGCTTTTTTGATATCTTCCATCGTATCAAAGAGGTGAAAATAACTATCCCACAGGCAGACTTGGCATTCAACATGGCCCCAAGAGTGTTTGATATCACTCAATTTGCTGCAGGGCTAAACAATTTCTGCTTTACTTTGCTTCTCTTAAGAATAGCCTCTGCTGAGCCACTGTGTAATCTACTAGAAAGATGTTTCCTAGAGTCAGACTTAGAGCACCAGATGCTTTAATGTCATGCAGAATATCAAACTATTATTGGGTTCTAAATATGTTCTAGTTTGTTTCTATGAATACAGACACTTTTACCACCCACCAACTTTTTAAATTTTATATTGTTCATGTTCTGCTAAGGCCCCAAATGCCAGCTGACTATGAAACCAAGGGCTTCTATAGAATGCGGTTGCATGTACCTGTTAAAGATATTATCTAGTCCTGTTGTTTCTGCCCCCTGCATGTTAGCCCTTCATACTCTTCACTTAACCGTAGCCTAGCCTTCTTTTCTGTATACATGGATTTCCTGCTTGTTCACAATCTTTCCAGAGTCTTTTTTTCACTTACCTGATTCATGGCTTAAAAACCTTTCTTGGTTCCAAAATCTAAGAATATTCTTGACTATTGCACTTTACCAAACTCATGTCTCTGAAAGCTGTCCTCTCTCCCTCCCTCGCTTCCTTCCTCCTTCCCTCCCTACTTACCTTTCTTCCTTCCTACCTTTCTTCATTCATCCTTCCCTTTCTTCTTTGTTTTCTAACTTTGTTCTCCCCCCCCCAGTTATTTATTTGGTTATAAAAGATACTCCTTTAGTCTCTACTAGGTGTTTGGCATTGTGTGGGGTGTCTTGGATGCTGTTGAACATATACAGATTATTTGTGGCCTTCTTGGGTGCTCATTTTACATTTTAGTGGGGGAGATCTGCAGAAATGTTGAACTATGACAAGCGATACAGAGAACCACATTGTGCCAGAGATGCCTAATGAGGAGTCTGATGGTGGCAGGGTGACAGAGTAAGGTGTCCTGCAAAAGTGCTTGTAGTGCCAGTGAGTGTGAGTTCACAGAGAATACACTGAAGGGGTTTCTGGGTGGAAAGCATCACGGAGTGTGAAGAAAGAGCTCAATACCTGTAATTGGCACTCACTCATCAGACATTCATAGAGTACTGCATTGAACTAGGTCTGGATAGCTAGCGAAGAATGCAAATTACAGTCCCTACTTTCAAGGAGTTCATTTTGAAGGGAATGAGGAAGTGAGATACAAAGTCTTGGACTCTCTGGAGGTGGTGGAATGGCCATGAACGTGGAATGAGAATAGCAATGAGGCAGAGGCCTAGGAAGTCTGTGACCAAGTGCAGAGCCTTGAAAAGGCCCAGAGGTTGTATTCTGTTTATTTTCCCTCTGCTCTGACCCGTCTCTCTCCCTCTTGCTCTAACAGCCTTGCATGGTGTTCATGCCCCAGTTCTAGTAAGTTCTTTCAGTCTCTCATGCACATGTCCTTGCATGTGCTTTCATGATTAAACATTCTCTGTTCCTTTGTCTCTGTGTCTTGAGCGTGTGTTATAATTTGTTGGCATTCAAGCCCTCTCTACCAGGCAAAGAGCTCACTGAGAATGTGAAATGTAATGCATGCTCCATACCTATTTATGTGTGAGGAGAAAGGCAGTTTTAGGCCTTTCAGAATCCTCAAAGAGAAACATCTGCAAAGATAAGCAATTCATATTTTTACTCCTCTGATTTTCCTCTTTTAATGCATTGTGCCAACCAAATCTCATTTTCTTGGCTATTATTTAGACCCTCTCCTAGGAAGGGAAGAGAAAGAAAATATTAAGTTGTGGGAAAGCCCTCCATGCCAAACATTTCATTTTATTTAATCTTCCCAAGTACCCTAAGAGGTCTGTATTAGCATCTCTGATTTTACAGATAAAGAAAAAGGTTAAACGGTTTCCTTGCCCAGGGAACACAAACAGCAAAGGAGAAAGCTGAATGTCTATTGGTCTCCCTCATTTTATTATGAAGTTGCTTTAGCATAATCTGTGCTTTGCTTCTACCACCAGATCTCAGATGATACCTTGCCATTGTCAGCATAAGTTTTGACCGAGGAAATTATTCTGCCCTGCTTCCTCAGTCAATTGTCAAATATTATTGCCTTTGTAGGCATCCATCTATACATTTTCTATTGGAGAAAAATGCCTGAAGAATCAGTAATCAATAGTATGGAAAATCTTTCTGCAAGGGATTCTCTTTACGTGAAGGCCATGTTGTTATTTGGGAAGGTGATTACATTATATTTATTTTGTTTTAGCACACGATAGGCAGCTATTCTTGGGTTGTATTCATGACTACTTTGGTTTGATACTACTGCTGGCCTGGAATTAATTCTAGTATTAAAAAAAAAGACTGAAATTGAATGCAGCATATGTCACACGAACCAAGGTGTGTCTGGGGAGGCACCAATTTTTCAATAGCAGTGAGAAGACACCTGGATCAGAAATCCACACTGACTTCACTTATCAAGGAAAGAGCTTTTTGATTACAGATTTTTTCCCCAAATCACTTCTGCTAGTCTTAATATTGGCTGAAACAAATACCAATCATGCCAATTAAATTTCATCCCTCCAAACTAACAGTTTGATGCATCAGGTATGTCCTAAGTGCTCACCTAGAGATGAATGAAATATGATGTCTGTCTCTGAAACAATTCAGTGGAACTCAGATTAGTGTAGATTTGCAAAACATAGGTTGGAAGTTGCTGCCACTTCTGACAAAAATTGGGTTTGCCACACTTGAATTCAAAGAGGTAGTTAGCACTGTGAAAATGGTCTAGATAAAGGACAATGCAGAACAAGAACTGCGATGTCTATAGGCAGATTTCCAAACTCCTTAGAGTGGAGACCAAAGCTTATTAAAATTGCCCCTTTGCTTACCTATCCTGTACCTACTCTCCATGGGCCTCCCTTATGCCAGGCATGCTGAAGGATTTGCTGTTTCCAAAGACCACATGCTCTCTGCCTCTTCAGTTCACACATACTAAACCTTCTGCCTGGGATATTCTCCTTGCCCTCTTGGAAAACATTTAATAATTCTTCAACTGAATTGTCACCCACTAAAAGCCTTACCTAAGCACCCCACTCAGGGCTGAGTGCCTTGTGCTCCCTACTGCGACAGATCCTGATGACTCTCTACCCTGAACCCCCACTAGTTTTCATTGTCTCCCTGCCAGTCTCACTGCATGCAGCGGTGAACTCCTGGAAGAAAGGACTGTGCCTACCCCTTGTTATATTCAAGATGTATTCCTTCACGTAGAGACTTTTTAAAATGCTTTATCCTTGACCGGACACATCATAAGTGAATTTAAGGTGATTGGGTCCAGTGACTTTAAAAATGCCCTAGACACTTATTTCTTAGAACATGATGGCAATTGTTCAGCAAGAGAAATCGGCCTCACTGCTTTGCTTATCTCAATCAGAAAACAGTTGAGGAATTAGATGACAAAATAGTGTGTGCTGTCCTACCTGTCCCTACTATTAGCTAACTTACTCCTCAAGACCGATTCTTCTGAGAAATATAACATCATGGTCTTTTGCCAGTATAATCAAAGACATCAAAGACTGCTAGAAAAAGCCAACCAAATCACCAAATGAAAGAGCAATAACTCTACTCCAGATACCCTTACTGCTGAAAAGGTGCCGTTCACTCTTTCTATATTTATTTTCAGAGCACAGAAATAACTTTGTCATATTTTTCTCCTTCACTTGGTATCCCCTAGGGATACCCCTAAGAGATACCAAGTTCAGTGAAGGTTTGAATACACCTTTTGTATTTCTTTGATTACAGACAGTATGAAGCTGTGAAACCATATTTGTCAACCATATGTTCTGTTGTAGAATCATTTGTTTCCTGTCTATGCCTATGCCAAATATTTCAAAATTTGTCTCTGAATTCCAACAGAAGGGTCTGCCCTAGAATTATTTAAATTTTTATTATTTCATGGATGAGTTAATTTAATCAAGCTCACTAATTTAAAGGCAGATGAGTTAGCTAATTGATTTTACATTTTTTTTAGAAAAAAAAGATTAACTTTGGAGTTAGATTTAATTCAAAGCTGACTTTAAAAATTAAAAAGCCAATACATTTATGAAGACCATAATTTAGTTCTTTGGACCTTTATGCAAAATTCATGTGCAATGAACAACAACTGACTTTGATTTGAATTGTTATATAACAAACCTTTTCTACCACATCATCATAAATCTCTTCCCTGAGCCTCTGCTCAATATGACAGTTGGGTGTTAAGTTTCAATTCAGTTCATCATGGATTTAAATCCCCTCCACAAACTATTGGCTCTGAAGCCTTAGGATATTTATTTGTTTTCTTTTTTGCCACACATATCTCATTTGTAGAAATCTGATCACAGATCATTTTTTAAAATGCTATAATATATATGACTTGCTTACCATAGCCTAATATAGAGTAAGACTTGATGAATTATTAAACTGTTAATATGTCTTTTTTGTTCTCGGCCTTAGCTCTACTTTCTTTGCCATTAAAAATGTATGGATGGTAGTTTCTCTTAATGTTCTTCTGAACATGAATACTAAACTAAATACTAAGAATATTACACTACTTTTTATTGTAACTCTAGCATATTGTGGGTAAATACTGTGACTGATTGATACACGTGTGAAAGAATGAATGACCAGATGGCCTTTCTGATCATTGGAAAATGAGGAAACTCAGACCATAAAAATAACTCATGTTATAAACTAATTGCTCAATGAAAAAATAAAAGACTTCTAAAGTTCGTGTCAATTAAAAAGTACTGAAATGTCCTCATAAAACTAGGAAGGAAATATTTAGGAAGCCACATAGAACATATGAACATTCTTTATTAATCTTCACAGCATGGTCAACGTGAGTTTGGATTTAAAATATATTTACTAAACATAACAAAAGTAGAAGAGAGAGCAAGAAACAGAGAGGCAGACTGACAGAGACAGAGATCATGCAGAGTTATTTGGAAAATTTAAGACTTTTATTTACCAAGTATACCTAAGCTATCTGTGACTTGCAAAAACATAAATGAATATATCAACAAACTCCATAATGGAGTATTTGTCAAAAATGAAGAGTCTTATCTTTTAATTCTCATTTAAATTGAATTATTAATAAAATTACCCACCTCAAAAAGAAGACAGGGGATTGTACATCTTAGGCCATGAGTTCCCCTAATATCTCTGCTAGGTAAATTCCTATGTGTGTATTTATATTGCTAGAGATCTCTTTTCCCATATGATTGTGATCAAACTGGTGTCACAAGTGCATGTCAAAGTATATAGTTTATGTCTCATAACAGTCCAAAATTCAATAATATACCCTTTGTCCTCAACAAACAATGAATTAGAAGAAAGTACAATATCATTAAAAAGAAACCAAAGAACCCTTGGTGTTCATATGATGCATGCTACATAGATAGCAAAACACAAAATATCCTAGTCATTCTCCAAACATTACCACCTATAGGACTTAAAAGAATAAAATACATTTTTTTAAACCGGTAGATAATTGGTGAATTTTCCATTTGATGAAGTGCTGAATTTGGTTAAAGTTTAGCTTACAATTAACCTTTAGTCATTTTTCTAAGATTTTTTTAAAGAAAGCATACCAGGTGGGGCTTAGGAATCTCATCTCTGGAGCCAATCAGGTTTCACATGCCAACTCTTGACACCCAGTAGGGAATCAAATGATGACCTCTTTATCCGGGTTTAGTGTGAAGACTGGGAACCATGTAAAGTGCATAGCACAAAATAGGAGCACAGAGAGCCCCAGAATAATAACCCTGATGTAGTTAAACATGTTGTGCTGACAGTTACTATCTACTTAGCCTGGTAGTTTTATCTATCAAAGTTCAGAAACTGCACATGATAGCTTGTGAGTCACTTCCATCACTGAGTTTGTGCTATAATTTTTAAATAGATTTGTTTTATTGTGCCTTTGTTGTAACTTTGCATTGGTTGATTTTCCTAATGCAATAATTATGCATTTAGATTTGAATTCCCATAATTAATAATCATATGGATATGTAACGATTTGGGTCCATGTCCTTACTTTCTTACTTTAGTACATTGTCTTGCTTTATTTGATATGCTTTTCTTAATTCTTATCAATGGCCTTTTTCTCATATCTTGTTGGTCAGCTATGTTCCAACACATTTATATTTATGTAGAATGCATCTATCAGGACTAGATGCCATCCAATTAGCAAAAGCAGTAAAATTTGTTCTAGTTATTGTGACTTGCAAAAAAAATAAACATTAAGGATGCAGAGTAGCTATTTTCAGTATTCATGGGAATATTTTGTGGTTCAGAAAAGTGTGTTTCAATGCATGTTGCACATTTTAAAAAACTGTTCAGACTAGTTATCTTTCTGAAAAGAAGATATTTCAGCATCAGCAATATCTTCAAATACTTAAAACCTCACAATATATTTTTACTTATGATAATTTTTAACTTGCTTTTAGCATAAATTCCCATTGCTTTTGAAGTTTTGACTCATTATACAATTGCATTATCCTTTAAAAAAAAAAAAAAAAGCAAAACACCCCCACCAAGGAAGTACAATGTGACATCAAATATATCCAATTATAGAAGTACTCAACACATGAGATTATTTTGCAAGTCTTTAAAAAAATCATAAAGTCAGGTGTGGTAATGCATGCTTTCAGTGATTTAGGAGGCTGAGTCAGGAAGATCTCAAGTTTGAGGCCAGCCTCAGCAACTTGATGAGGCCCAGTCTTTAAAAACCTGTCTCAGAATTAAAAAAAAAAATTAAAAGACTAAGAGATTTAGCTCAGTAATAAGGTGCTCCTGGGTTCAATCTGCAGTACCAAAAATAAATAAATAACAGAAATACATAAAATCTAAATTGTATTTTACACATAATTAGATGCTTTGGATAAGATTTCTAAGAGGAACATGTCTATTTTATACCATCTAAAATTAAACATTCCATGGCTCACAGAGTGATTTCAATATTCATTTTAATTTATGAAAAGCATGCAACTATTGTGGTCACTCATAAAAATTAATAATTTAATTAATATACCCATTTAAAGAATTAAGAATTCTGAGACTTTTCTGGTAAAGTAAAATGAATAGGCAAAATATTACAATTGTGTTCTATGGTATGAGTGTCCTCGGTTACTCAAATAGTTTTCTAAAAGTCAATTTTCTGATTTTCTATGTTTGTATAAGAAACTGAGGGATGAGGTACATCCTAGGACTCTCTCCATTGATGAGACCTATCTACAGCTATATAAGATTGACTCATGCTCTGGGTGAAAGTATTTCCTAGTACATAACAGAATACAAAATCATCAGTAAATCAGTTAATCAATAAAGTTGGAATTTGTTGGAGGTAAATAAAAGATTTTCTCTAGTATGGAAAAATAGTGTTCACTGTCTTATTTTTAACCTCATTTCAATTGTTGTGTTTTTAAAAAAATTGTATGATCATGTTTTTATTATATAATTATAGATGCACATGATCTATTCTTAATAAAATAATCCAATGAATAAAAGTATGTTAATTTGATCCATTTTCAAGCATGGTTTTCATCCAGGGTCATAAAAGCTCTAGGTTTTGACTAACATTTCTAAAAATGTATGAGTTTAATATTATAACTTAAGGACAACTTTGCATAATTGTGTTCTCTGGAAAAGATAATACTCAGAAAACAAATTGAGTGAGCACTTGAATTGAACGTGTACCTGCAAGCCAGCAAAGCACTTTAAAAATAAATCTAGGTTTATTGTCATCTACTGGAAGCCATAGAACTATTGGATTTTTAATTTCTAGATCTCAGGGGACTTTATAGTGAGCACTCTTTTCTGAGTATTCCCTGCCTGTTTGTCTCCAGTGGACTGAAACTTACTGACATCTTTACTATTGATTTATTTAGTATACTTGCCTTTCATCTCCATTTTTCTTCTCTTTCTCCCTCCCCCTTCTATCCAGTATACAGTGTGGACTGCCCTCTGGATCACCTGGAATGTGTTCATTATCTGCTTTTATTTGGAAGTAGGTGGCCTCTCTAAGGTGAGTGTATCATGCCTTGAAAGACTCTGAATAGAGTCCACTTATTTTAACTATTGTAACAACGAATTGCTATTTTATAATTCGTGTGTGTGTGTGTGTGTGTGTGTGCGTGCGTGCGTGCGTGCATGGGTGTGTGTGTATATAAATAAAGCATTGCAAATAAAATACCAATCAAAAATGTATTTGGGTGCCATTCAGGAAAGAATGATCCTAGGAGCATGCTAATAATGAAGGAACTTCAAAATAATTTCCTTACGGTTTTGTTCATTATGTTAAAGTAGTACTTGGCTTCTTGAGCATCCTCTTGTCCTCATGTCCATTTTAAAAAGACATAATGTCACAGTGACCTCAGTCCCAAATGCTAAGTGAAAAGTGATTTTAAACTTTTTGTGTTTAAAGTGGGAGAGAGTGACAAGGAATGAAGTTCTTTTACATGTAAGTGAACCATATGTTTGTTAACATAAAAACATTAGTGAAGTGACTCCTGTTTTGAAATCCTGATCAGAGGTCAGTTATCTTATTGCAGCATGCCACACGTGCTATTTCTGTCTATCTAGAACTGTCAGAAGACTATATAATTTTTGTTGTGCCTCCAGCAATGATGTCTTCTGATTGTCACACAAATGTGAAAGCAACATGTGTTAAATTTTTAGTTGTGGTTCTTAAAACTTATTAATTAGCACTATTTTCACTAGAGAAAAAAAGCAGAATAATTTCAGAAAGTATGAGAATGAAATTCTTAATTTTTTAGGTATCTCATTACCAAGTATGTTTGTGAAAATATTTGTAAAGTCTTATGACAATTTCAGATTTTAAATAATATGACTGTCTCCTACTTGATTTTGCAGCTTAGATCTTATAAAATTTATCTTGACCAGCACATATCCTTTTAGAATTGTTATACTCCACTGAAGTCCATATGATAACAATGTTTGTTTGATTCAGATGAACAGCAAAAAAAAATCTATAAGGATTTTTCTAGAACATCCAAAAGGGACTACTCTTTCTATACTCTAATAACCTTAAATTAGAACTTGTCAATATTTTCTCACATTGGTAAATGTGTTCAGAAACCAGAATGACCTTTTCAATCTGAGTTTCACAATTTTCACTATGTATGATATAGGTGCTAAAATCTACCTAAAATATTTGTGTTATTGACTGCATTTTATCACTAATTTCTAAGACAGAAAAATCTTTCTTAAATATATGTCTGGCAGGGCTGGGGCTGGGGCTGGGGCTCAGTGGTAGCACATTTACCTGGATGTGTGAGGCACTGGGTTCGATCCTCAGCACCACATATAAACAAATAAATAAATAAAAGATCTATCAACAATGGAAAAATTTTTAAATATGTCTGGGTATAATTTATAAATGCAGATTATTAAGTAATTATAAAATGCAAATCTTATGAATAAGAATGATGAATAATAAATAGGAATAGCATGTCCAAACTCTAGCATTTTCTAACTTGTGATTTGAATGATCATTTTAAATTATGTTTTTCTTTTACTGGGTAAAAATTATCTTCTATTTTCTTCCATATAAACTGAATTGGAATAATTGGACCAGAGAAAATTTGTGCTATAGGATTGGCATCATAGTGTGTTTAAAAACTAAATTTCAGATCCTAAGTCTTTAGTTCAAACTTGACTCTGGTGCTTATTGTGGGCCATCAGCCAATCACTTAACCCTGCTGAGTGCACATGCAGTAGCATACCAGGGCCAGCTTTGCTAGTAATAAGAGGAGTGTGTGTTTGTAGACTGCTCAGGACTATTTCTGCACGTCATACCTGGTAACTCAGGTTGACTATGAAACAACTCTACAAAGTGATAAAAACTAATCAATAGCACCAGTCATTTGTTCCATATAAATCTGGTTTCCCAACACTACACGTGCTTATTTTTATTTGAACTGCTTTTCATAACTGCTTTTCTATCATCAATGTACACATTGAAAGGGCTTTTTTTTTTCCTGATTTCTTTGGGTACAAGTTTAAGAAAAATGGGCATAGTAGTCCTAGTTACTCATTTTATTACTCCAATTATTACTCATTCAAATGTCATTCATCGTTAACTAAGAATTTGTGGTTATTAAAAAGACAGATGACTACAAGAAGAGCATCCTAAAAATTTTCTGTTGATATCCTTCCTTAATATCACCCTGGCTAGTTCAACCTCAACTGGAATCTGTAAGAGATCTAATCAAAAAAGTAGAGTAGGGTTAAGGACTCTTGACAAACCCAACTGCCTTGCCACTCTTCCAGACTTCATTCCATTATGCAAGAAATTCCTCAACCATGGGTACTTGTATGCATATCAACTTTCTAGAGTTCTCCATCTCCATCTCTCCTAGAGTTCATATGGCATTTCTTGTAATTGCTGCTTGGACTGATTAACAGAAACTATCTTATACCTTAATTTTTGCCCCAAACATATTATGGAGTAGTGAATACTTCTGCAAAAACTAAAATTCAGAGTAGTTTCTATATCATGTCTATGGATTTGGAGTTATTTCAATGATAAACATGGCCTATACACAGTCAATTTATACTCCACAGGGCTCTTTGACTAACAGTTTACATCTGTGGAATAAGAACAGTCTTGGATTACCTGAAAGGCAGTGAGCGGTCCCACAGGCAGGTGATCATGGACACAGAGATCCTTGCAATGCTTAAATTCTAATGGTGCTGTTGTGCTCTTGTGTTTTAAAAAATGCCTCATTTTAATTTCTAATAAGATAAATATTGATGAATGTAATCTACATAAACAAAAGCTCTTTGGGATACTCATTAACTTTTAAAAGTAAAAAAATAAAAGAGTACTGGGGCCCAAAAGCTTGATAGTCACTGCCCTAGAGTAACCCATATAAAAAATAAATAATGCAAACAGTGAGAGCATTGAGAAGCTTCAAAGCAGATGGTACAAACAAAAAACAAATAATAATATGGCAGATTAAAACCCAGCCATATCAAAAACCATAGGAAGTGTAAATACACTAAACACTCCAATTAAAGACAGAGATTAGAGCACTGGAGTTTTAAAAAAAAAGTACCCAATGCTATTTATATGAAATATAATTTAAATATAAACATATACATATGTTGAAATTTTAAAAAATGAAAATAGATGTTTTTAATCACCAATTAGAAGAAATTCTCTTGATCATAATAATATCAGAAATAACACACTCCAAAAAAATAAATAAATAAAAATAAAGTAGACTTCAAGTCATAGGCTATTATTACAGAAAAAAAAGAGATGGTTTATTATCATATCAGGGTCAGTGTATCAAATACACATAACAAACCTACACCATACCAAATAACATAGTTTTAGAACATATGAAGCACAACTTAGTGATATTAAAGGTAGAAATTGATGAGTCGACAAACAGGTGGGGAGTGTAACACTCTTTTGTTTTGTTTTGTTTTTTACTTCTGATGGAGAAAAATATACACATGAGAGAATAAAAATAAAAGATCTGGACAATGCTATAACCAACATTTCTAACTGATGTGTGTAGGACATTACATTCAAAACTACAAAATATGTGCTCTCTTCAAAGGCATAGAAAACAATGATCAAAATTATATTTTAGTTCATAAGAAGTCTCAATAAGTATCCGTTGGCTGAAACAATGCATACAGTGGTTCTCCCATTGCAAAGAAAACAGTAATATGAAAGATGCAGTATTAAGGTCTGTATGTAATTTTTAAGTATTTGGAAATGAGGCTGGCAATTCTAAAAATCCACAAATCAAATGTGAAATTATGAAAAATTTTAAAAAATATTTTGAAGGGCATAATAAAGAAAACACAGCAAATATTTATGGGTAACTCAAAAAAAGTATTTAATTGATACTAGAACAGAAGGAAAATTGAAAATCAATGATATTAGAAAAAGAAGAGAAGTTTAACTATGTCTGTGATCTCATAGCTGGTTGTTTGAAGAGAACGATAAAATGACAATCTATTAGTAGGACTGATCAAGAAAAAAGAAGAAATAATACTATTTACCAAGATCAGTTTAGACAGAAGAGATACACCCACAGATTCTGTAGAAATTTAAAGACTAAAATGAAAAAAAATTGAATAGTTATATTTCAATGAGTTTGAAAAATGATATGAACAAACTTATGGACAGAATAACATCAAAACTAACACATTCAGAAATAGAAAATATGGATAACTTATAAATTTATAATTAGAAAACCTTCCCACAAAGAAAACCTCAAGCCCAGATGGGTTTAATGATGAAGGTATCAAACATATAAGAAAGAAATAATGTTTATCTTATCCAAACTCTTACAGAAAATAGAGGATGAAGAAAGATTTCCCATGTAATTTTATGATCTAACATAATCCTGATTCTAGATATTTGTCAAAAATTAAGTTGACACCAAAGTCCTAGCCATCTTTGATCCTCTTCCCAGGAAATTTGTCATTAGCCATTCTGCCGAAATGTCCTCCAAGTATTTGATGATGTTTGTCAACGATTGTTTACCTCTTGCTAAGGTAAAATTCTTGCTCCTTTATAAGGAAAATAAAAATCAGCTCTATCCTGTGATAGAGCCCTCACCAATCCAGGCCATGTGCAGGGATCTTTGCTGTTAAAGGCTCATTCAAATGTGTTCTTTAAAAATAAGCTGTGTGCCCTGCAGATGAAAAATGCCACTGCCTCCAAACGCAGTAGCATCTGTAATTAGATTGAATTTATTAGTGATGTTTTGAAGTGATAGCTACTATTACCGCTTAATTTTTTTTTTTCAATTAGAAAGAGACAAAGACTTGAGGTGGGCTTTCTCTCCCTCTCTCTCTCTCTCTCCCCCTCTCTCCCTCTCTCCCTGTCTGGCTCTCTTCCTTTCTCTTTCCTTCTTGTTGTCCCCAAGGAAATGGATTCTTCTGGGTAACACTTCTTTTTCTCATTATAATGTAGAACTAGACATATTATCAAAAAAAAGTTATAGATACTAGAAAGGCAAGAACAAACATCACTTT